AAGAAGCTAAACTGTATGTTTGCAGGGCAAACCAGTACTACCATGGACCTCAAAAAAAAAAACCACCAAAAAACAACCCTACAAATGAACTCCTGTGCTTTCCAGATCTTCCTCACTGACTTCACGGCAGTCATGTTCAAGGAGGACTCCCCATTTCAGAGAAACTGTATTCATAATCTCCAAAATACTCTCCTTAGCAGGTTACTTTTGAAACTTGAGAAATTGAGTGAACAAGGTTCTAAAATACAATTTCCTGCTGTTTCTGAAGCAGGTAAATCTGATCAGATTTTTTTTTTGGGGGGGAAGGTAAAAAAAATACCTTCTTACTGCCGACATCCTTCATACTGGATAACTTAAGACTTTAACCAGAGCATCAGAAATGAACACCAGCTTCCAATGATGGCAATTTCCATTTAAATTTGTATAACAACATATCACATTTAACTACATGAATGAGGATCTCATTTACAGCTGAAGATTGCTTTGTACTTGTTAAAGTACTATTTCTATGCGTTCCAATAAATTTAGTTTGCCAATTGAGGTAGACTGAAAATGTAATATAGATTCACTAAGATCTTGGGTCTAAATTTAAATATTAAGTTAATGTAAAAATGTAAGACATGAATACCAGGACACTTGCAATAGCTATACAAGTTAGTAGAAATTGCAGGTGCTGGAAATATAGTCACTAAAGGTAAAAATTGTTACAACAGACAAACATCAGTAAACACAAAATAAACAATCTATGAAGAATAAAACATTAACCTTGGTGTGGTATTCATATGATCATTGGTATTAGTGCCAGGAATGATAAATGGAGGGAAACAGCAACCAATTAATAAGGAATGTGCACTTCCCCTAATTTATTTCTTTCCAGATTAATTCAGGTCTTTATTTTAGAAAAACAAAACAAGGAAATTACCTATTTGTTTTAAGACCAAGACTTTGCAGCAATAACATGTAAAACTCATGTGAATAGTTAGAAAGAAAATAATGATCTTGTTACGCTTATTCAAGATTTATACTAGTTTCTGGAAGCCTCAAACACTATAAATTCATAGAAAAAAATGTATACTATCAATAACAACTATACTACAATACTATAGTATATATACCATAAATAACCCAGAGAGAACCAGGTGTATGCCTGTTTCTCATCATGACAAAAGGCATTAGCAAGAAAAGTGACAAAACCACTGTAATGGGCAAGGACCTAAATCTCATGTCTGAGAATGCAAGAAGGAAATAGGTGTGAAACACATGCTACATATTTTCTGAAATCCCTTCTACAGGATATTTGTTCCTAAGGAGCATTGCATGCAAAGAGGATAATTTGTTTCTCAGGAGTATTTTGATCTTGCCGATTATTCCTCACTTGTTACTTAGCCTAAACACCTTTCTGGGAATGGATTGTCTGGAGAAACCAATCCAGCTGACAGCTCTGCCTGAAAGCACAGAAGGAGCAGTCTCTTACTCTTGTATTCTTAGTTTGATTAATATATCTGTTTTATGAAAAATTCAAATCACTAATTCCTTTCCATAGCATCTTTCTTGTCTGTTCTGTGCACTTCAGGTAATTGCAGGGCATATTCTACATGCACTATGCCTTTGGTTCAAGCATGCACATTATTTTATCCTTCCCAGCTTCTGAAAAAAGTTGTCTTTTTTTTTTTTTTTTTTTAAATTTCCTCAAGTAAAAGTACAAGGAAGCTAAACCTACACGCAAGACTGAAGCTCTGGCATTCTGCACTGCTGCAGTCCATTACGAGAACAAATTAAAATATTATATACATTAGCCTCTGTACTAATAAGTCTAAGGAAGCTTTCAGACGAAGCCAGCCTTGGTCTTACCTGTCCTGTATCCTGTGTTGTTGAGGTACACTGCAAACGTACGTATTTCATGCTGAGCCTGCCAGGATGGAGAAGAACAGTTCTCATTGTTAGTGTAAGTGTTGTGGTTGTGGACGTACTTCCCCGTAAGAATAGAGGAGCGAGATGGGCAGCACATGGGTGTTGTCACGAAGGCATTGATGAAATGAGCACCTCCGTGTTCCATGATCCGCCTTGTTTTATTCATCACTTGCATAGAACCTGGAAGAAAAAAAAGTCTTGGAATTATTTTCTTGTTTCAGTCACAAGAGCTAACTAAGAGCTCATGTGTTACATCAGAGACCAGAATGAAGCACAGGTAGTAAGGGCACTTTAATCTCATACTGAACCCAAATCCAAACGGATTATTCTCCCTCCTCTAGTGAAGTTCTCCCATTGTTTTAAGAAGGACCAAATACTGAAGTCCTAAGTTAAGATTTGACTCAAAGCTGTTGACATAGATCATAATGCTTTTTAAAATTTCTCTCTCTCTAAGCTCAAGATTTACCACTGTACTACCTGCACCATCTATGCAGCCTTCCTGGAGCCACTAGTACTGTTCCAGCAGCTGAAGGCAAGAACTACCATGAATTAGGCTGAGACAATATGGCCTGAGGGTGAAATTCACTTTGTGCAGCAACCCTGACCAAAGTTTGCATACTCCTTAAGCATTATTATTCCTTGGTTTCAGAAGATACCTGATGCACTGCCTTTTGTGCCAACCTTCTGCAAAAGGCTGAGGGTTGTAATCACAGAATCACAGAACCATTGAGGCTGGAAGGGACACCTGGAGATTATTTAGTCCAACCCCTTGCTCAAGCAGGGTCTGCTAGAGTTGTTCTCTAGATAAAATGTTCTTTTGCCTAATGTGAGGCATTAGCAGGTATTGATTTCTGTAAGTTTCATTGAACCAAAGTAAAGCCCTCATAATAATTTTCATAACCAGCCCACTGAGTTTCTACCCACTTGATCCATTTTGATAATAGTGCTACCTAAACCTCTCTAAATTTTCTTAGGCTTGGTTCTGCGGAATCAGATTTTTAGATGACTACTTGGGACAGATAACACCATGTAGTTATCTGTCCTAAAACAACCTAACATCACCTAAAAACAAACAAGCAAGTCTTAACTGGCAGGGACTTGGATGAATTGGGGTAACGGGAGACGAAGTCTTTTTGCCAACAATTACTAAAAGCCACACTGCTGCCAAATGGTTGTTCTGTTTCCAGTTTAAGACAAAGCTTTGGACAAAGACTGGATCTTTACTATAGACATCCACCTAGCTAAATCTAGATCCATATCAGAGTTTTTCCTACACACAGAAACACCGAGGATCAGAAGAAAAAAGACATTTAGTTTCCCTCATCTATAGGTGCCTGCTAGTTAAAACTGCATCAGAGTGAGTTATACTTCATCTAGGAAGAATTTCCATTTTCCAAAGAACTTGTAATGGTACCATGTCACCAGCATGACCTTGCAAAGGAGAGTAAACCTTTCCATCACCAACCCTCCCTTCTTGTTATGAGCAGGGGAAGCCAAGAGACAACATGGAGATGAGGTACGGGTTCATGCTGCAGTAGGGTTGGGGCTAACTTACCCAAGGTTGAGTTGATTAATAGTTCAGCTTTAATCAATGCATCCTGCAACCATCTAGCACAAACTGTATGTTGTTTCTGTCAATAATGGGTTTAGGTTTCTTCTATGCTCTTTAGGCAGGGATTTCATTATGAGATTGCAACAGTAAGTTGATTTGATACAGGGCACATTGATATAACCAGGAGTCAAAACCTAGAGGGAAAATGGTCATAAGCCACATACGAAATCTGACTCTCTGGCACCACGAAGGAAGATTAATTGCTACTGTAGGTCATTTCACCTAAAAATTGCCATGGTATTAGTTTTCTTGAGATCATTTTGTTGGAATGAATATAAAAAAAAAATTTCAAAAATCTGTTTGTGCATTTCTCAGGTCAGAGCACATCTCTGTCACATCACTTTGTGACAAGAACAAGGCAGGTTATTGCACTCCCCCTTTAGAACTTGCTAAACTTCACTATCAAAAAGAAGTTTCTGAAGAAAGCAAGGTTTTTTGTTTCCATAACTGTGGGATAGGTATTAGTGCTCAAAGGCACTAACAACACATTTAACAATTGTAACAGTCAATTATACATTATGTGAGCCTGAAAACTGTGGACGTTTCCTCTGTGTTGTCTTATGAGCTAGCCCAAGCATAAATAGGCAGACTGAAAGAATGTTTTGTCATCCCAATATTAAAATACAATTTAACAACCCCTTTAAATGACAGAGGCATCTGTGCATAAATAACAGTACATGTTAAGACTCCCCTTGGGGGCAGTAACCTCCTTTAATAAAACTGCTGTAATGACAAGGCCCTATATATCAACAGTCTTTAATACAAAACCATATGATCTAATCTGCTTCCCCAGCTTGAGAACTAATACAGAGTGACAGATCAGTGGAAGGTAAAAATCCAGCATACTCTTCTGTACAATCTTAAATAGGCCAGCTTTAAATATTTTAAACAGCATTAAACCAGCCAACCAAAACTTATTTTATTCAGCTTGCCTCCAATACAAACATAGAATTATGAGAAAAAGTAGAAATAGATCTTTCCATAGCAGAAAATTAGTTATGTGTTAATCAGCAACTGGAACCTCACCAAATCACCTTTTGAGTTGCAAAACCTTCTGGGGTTTCATTAGTGGATGTACCAAGGGAAGTCATGCTTTGAAGTGTCAATATTAAATTCAATTTAATTTAATTTACCTGTCTAAACCCACTGATAATAAATAAAAATTATTTAGTAGTTAAATGTGAAATTTCTAAGCTATTTAAAAAAAAAAATCCATTGGACTACTGTGAAAATATGAAAGTTTAATCAATTTGATGCATTCAAGCTGCTCACTGGACAAAGTGAAGCAAAACCTAGGTTGAAATTCCTCCTGAAATTTGTGTGGTATCCATAACTTTGCTTAGTGTGTCTTCACAGTTCACTTTAGGGATAAGGCTGATATTTTGACTAATATTAATGGACAACATATACCAGTTGTTTATGAAATAATACTGACTTTCTCATTAGTTGTGTTTTGTTGTCAGAGGTCATAATTTACATGAGTCTTAGGGAGCTCCAGCTGTTGAAGAACTTGTATTAAATCCCAAGTGACTTAGTCTACTCTGAAGCACAATTTAAGAAGTGGTATCCATATGCAGTTAACTTAACTGAACCCCAGAATGTTAATTAACTGTCCCCTAAAGCCTTCTATTTTTATCGTATTTGAACATCGTTAGACACCCTTTTCACATCTTCATTTCCTTTTTTTTTCCTCATATTTAATTTTAATGAAGCTCTAAGACCCTAATCTCCATGTATGATAACTAAGAAAAATTATCTTCCATGCCACTTTTGTAGTTTTTCAGAGGAAGATGTAGGAACATACAAATCACCTCTCACTGAGATTTCTCTAACGTGGCTGAAATAACTTCTAAATAATCAGATCTTTCTCCAGCGATGAGATAATGAAATAAGCTGGTTTGGTAAACCACAGCAATATGGTAGGCAAACCTAATTAAACTGGAGATGCTGAGTCCATCACCCAGGGGACATCAGCATTATACTAACTTGGACTTAAATGGCTCTAGCGGGGAAAAAAAAAGTCTTTGTTTCTAATTAAGTCTTTCTCCTCATCAGTATATTCCTCTTCTTTATATTCTACTTGTCAGTACAACTCTTTTGATTAGACAGTCAACTGAGCGTGTATGTTTCAGTAGTTCTTGGTGTTCTCATTTGCCTTCTCCCATTCGTATCCATTACAATTTACACTCATTCTCCTCTGACCTGGAGGTTCTGCATCCTTTTCATCAGCCCCTTATCAGTCTTTTCCTTTTTTCAATACAAGGCTGAGGTTTGGTTTCCCAAGTAAAACTCATGACTAACAGTAGTGCAAATTAAGAAAAAAAAAAAAGGAGAGAGAAAAAAAAAAAGTTGTACTCCTTTCCTGAAAGGACGACATTTTCTCTCTGGTAAACTCCACCTGCTACTGGTACATTGTTAAATCTATCTTAAATTAAATAAAGGAAAGGCTGTTAAGAGCACTTGAGATTGTGTTGTCTTCCCTTTTGCCTCAAAAGTAGCCACAAAAGAACAATGAAAGCTACAACACCCATCAGTTACAGAATATTCTCAGAAACAGATGAAATTTTAGTTATGCACAGCTTTCCCTGCTACACTTTCATAGCTTCCAAGTTTTCCTTAGTTTTTATTTGTAGTTCACATCTTGTCTTCATCTTTCTTAAATGCATTAACCACAATCCCCACAAATGGCAATTTTGATTAACTTGGACAGCTCACCAGACAATAGACAAGAATAAAAATTAATGCAAACAAATATTGGGTCTCACAAAGCCATTAGTGGCAAATGACAAATATCAAATCTCAGCTTCATCAAATGGATTTTCCTTAGTTAGATCCTAATTTGTGTGGACACATGCCCATTATGCTTGAAATTGGAAAGCATCAGATTATCAGAGAAGAGAAATACACTGCCCAAAGGACTTAGACAATTGCATCAGAAACAAGCAGGCTAGCATAAAATAGAAGATGATAAATTTTTTAGGACCACCTTCTGAGCCTGCAAGATAATGTACTTAGGTTCTTTTGGATATACATTATTGAAACCGCTTTATTTGTGATCCAATAACCATTTAAAAAAAAAAAGCAACAACAACAACAAATCTTCTGATCCTCCTAATTTGAATTACATTTGTATTTGGTGGGGTTACTGCCATATCAGGCTTTCTCACCACCTTTGAGAAGAATGTAACATCTACAACACTGCAGACATGCAATAATACTGATAAAAAGGAAGCATCTATAAGAATACTGCCATGTTGCTGTGATTAACTTTTCAACTAGATGAGTAAGTGTATAAGTAATACAAGTTGATTAACTTTACTATTGTGTTCTGTTTCTTCTGTGAGGTCTGTGTTCCAATTTTTTCCATCCATACTGGAAATTTGATACACTAACTGTCAAAAAAACCCACCAGACCTCACATATACAAACTCTCGTCTTTCAGATGATATGCTTAAAAGCATATTTCTAATGCAAAATTACTAAAGTAAACTGGTTCGTGTTAATCACTTCTCCTAACTACAGACAACATTCGGTAAATATAAGCTTGTTCAGGTAACAGAACAAAACCCAAACTCTGTCAGACAATTCATTATTCCAAATCATTAGGCAAAGTGTGTGTTTAATCTTCATCTCCTTTCTTCAACAATTAACATAGCGTTGAATAACACAGTAGAACCTTTTCATACTAAGTGATTTTGGTCAGTAATTAACTACACATCTAAATGGACAATACCAAGAATAGTACGACTGTGTTAGGTAACATTTAAGTAATTAAAATTAAAATTGTATATGTAATGAATGTCTGCAATTACACAAAAAAATTTGGGTAATTACATGGTGCAACAATCAGTTATGAATTTAAAACTACTGCTTTGGCATGTAGCTTCCCAGGTTATACTTGCAATTGCCAGAAGCGTAGTTTAGGTGTCTAGATGAAGACAGATAGGCAGGAATCTCATATTTCCACAGAAACAGGAAGTTTGACATTTTAAGTTGAGACTAACTTTTGCTGTCCTTGAATTTCATGCAGACGGAAAGTATTTTCTACATAAAGGTAGGTTTAAACTTTTGCTACTTGTTCTTCCTATCATTTTTCACACTGGAAAAAAAGATAATTATTTTGAATGCAAGAATCTAGCTTCAAGGAAAAGCAGTGCCATGCTCATTAGCTAAAATTCTCTTTATGTTGGGCTCTTACCAAGTTCTACATCCTGATCATCAGTAAGAACAAGGATGATGTTTGGACGGATGTTTCTACGGTCTCTTTGAAATCTTCCCTTCAGACGCTGATTTAACAGGAAAGCTGAACTTCCATCCAACAGTGATAAAACAGTCATCATGAATAATCCAAGGACAATACTATGCTGTGCCATATTGTGCTGATTTAATGTTCTCTCTGAACAAGGTAGGTTAATGGCTTCTATTTCTTTTTTGTTTGCAGGTCTCCTATAAGGGAGAGGGAAACAAGTATTTATTTATACCTTGACCCCCCTGCCTCCCCCAAGGAACAGCAAGGTTCTCTCCAAAGAAGTAAAAAGCAATATACTTGAAATAATTTAACCCCTAAGAAAAAAAAACCAAAAAAACAAAGCAACTGAATGTTTTGTTTTTCTAGTGCCAGCTAGAAGCAGAAACTTGAAAAATCCATAGTTCATAAGCCGTTACCAACATAGGCAACGAAGTTTCACTCTATGCTCAAATTTGGCTCTAAGTTCAAGGATTTAGCAGGGTATCAAACTCTTACTTTTGCTTTGAGACATATAAAAAGCAATCTTCTTCCTTAAGGTTCTGGGATGTTTTGAGATGACATTTTTGTTTACTGCATCAAAAATGCAGATGTTGAAGAAAAAACCCCATGTCTATCCATATTTTTAAACAGGACTGTGGTAAAATGTACTGAGTTAACAACACATTTGCAAATTCATAGAGGATCCTCAGACAGAAGACATGTTATACACTGATTTATCTTACAAATTTCATTAGAGAGCAGAGCTGCCCAGATCTTGGAACTATGGTATGATACTGTTTGAAATCAACTACAGCTTTGATGTTAGTGTGATATCCCGTCAGCATTTCTGTTGGTTTCCAAGATTTTTTTTTTTTTAAATATCATTAGTAGTATTATTATTAATGAACACATTTGAGGGCCCATTACTGCAAATGTTTGGGAATGGATGCACCAAAATGATTTGCACTGCCTACGACTTTTCTCTGTCATAAATACAATGCCCCAAAATTGACTTGTTTGCAAAATAGAGCACATCTAACTGGTACTGCTGCTGCTAATGAGGCAATAAAAAATTCTTAGCAATTCCTACAAGAAGATTCCAAAAAATTAATAAGCATGCTGAAGAATTTTTGAAATCATAGTTTTGCTCAATGATCTTCTGGTATAAAGGGATTTTCTCTTGCTTTCAGAAGTCAAAATAACAGTATGAAACTGTATTGAAAATTTCAAGTAGTAATTATTTCATCAGATCCAGTGATCAATGAGTCAGTTTTTGTTGAATTCCCTACTTGCTGCCTGCCTCTTCCTGGACTGGTGCCAATGATCTCTTGTAATGCAGTGAAAAATCAATTAAAAATGACACAAGGGAGACTATCTGCTTTTTGTAAAGACCAGAAGTGCCTGAGTAGAAAGAGCCTAGCACAATGTGTTTTACCCAAAGAAATACATTGGTTATTCTGTCCCTAAAGCCACTTGGGAAAACAGTTTTTCCTCCAGCAGATTATTTCATAGCCACATTATTACTTCATCTCTGTCAGCGTCTGTTCTTTGAGATAAACTTTTTTTAAGAAAGTTCTCATGCAATAGCAAAACCACTGGTCTGAAAAATTATACTCAGCTTCTATGCTTATTTAAGAAATGCATATTGAATTTTCATATAAGTCAACAGATACGTAGCTATAGTATGATGCAATATTTGTTAAGGCTGCTTTCCAAAAATGTCCACTAACAGGGTTTTGAGGGAATGAAAAAATCCTTCTTCCTTACTAGTCTCTCCAATGCAATAGCAAAACCACTGGTCTGAAAAATTATACTCAGCTTCTATGCTTATTTAAGAAATGCATATTGAATTTTCATATAAGTCAACAGATACGTAGCTATAGTATGATGCAATATTTGTTAAGGCTGCTTTCCAAAAATGTCCACTAACAGGGTTTTGAGGGAATGAAAAAATCCTTCTTCCTTACTAGTCTCTCCAATGAGTTTCACAGGCAGGTGAAATTAACTTTTTTCATAGAAACTAAAAATTGATTTTAAATATCCTAGCACTTGTTCCAGTGGGTAGGGAAAAAGTCAAGTCCAACTTCCTAAGTTTACAGATACAGCTTTAGTACCTCTGCTGCTGCTCAGAGATTTGCCAGGCTATAGCAGAAGGAACACCGACAAGTCCTATCAATTTTCATTCCTTGTACTCAGAATTCCATCTGCAGCAGTACAACTGGGAAGAATCATGTCAGATTCAATGTGTTGCTACTGTCCAGAGTAGTCAAAAGCAGCTCGAGAGGCAAACCTGGATCTGTTTCAAAAGGGGAGGAAAAAAAAAAAAAGTTAGTTTAGCAGGCACATATTCCTGGACACCAGCTTTTTGGGGGAGGGGGTAGAGAAACAGCTTCTGCTCTTCAGAAAAATACTCCGTATGTACTTCTGTTTAAAAAAACAAAACAAAACAAAAAATTGACAACATAGATGTTTTCATTACACACAAACATTTTTCTGGAGGTCTAAAAGTTAATGTGGTTTTTCTGCTCTATACTAGCCAATAGCTTCTCGAAATAATAACATTTGCTGACTTTTATTGCAGCATTTAGAAGGCTGTCCATTCTTGTTGTATCTGCTCATAACTACATTCACTGTAGAGTATTGTGCATATAACAGTCTTCCTTGCATTTTTCTCACTTCTTTTAAACAAATGCATGGAAGTAACCTTATGACCTCATTGCCTCTCTTCCCTCAGCCTGTCTTTTCCTCACAGTTTATTGCCCCTCACTCACTCCATTGTATCTAAAAATAGAAGTTGTCCCCAGCTCAGAGAGCTGCTTATCTATCTATAAAATACTTAACACACTTGGGGATGTACATAAACTGCTATTCCACAGCTATTTTATCCACACTTGCATATTTATGGTTAAAAGAATTACTTATCTCCGAGAGGATACTGCGGGTGGAGGAGAGAATTTCATGTCAAGTACAACAGGCATCTTCTACCAAACCTGTTATCTCTTTCCCAACCCCTTCCTCAATGAAGATTTTTCAACTATTCTGATGTGTTATGTTCCTATTATTATCAGGGTAAGTACTGCTGGGAACCAACTCAAAGGATGTAATTATTTGCAAAACTCATACCGATAACTAGGTAAGAAAATTAAAGCAATTTTAGAAAATAACCTATTTCTTGAAGTATGTATTCATAAAAGACAGACATGCCATGACTAACAGCATATATGCAGTAAAATCTAAAAGCCAGCTTTAAATAGTTCTCAGAATAGCAACAGAAGAGTCTGTCGCATGGATTGCCAGTGGTCAAATATAGATTGGTTTTTTTAACCCCTAGTCTTCGGTGAACTTCAGAGAAGAAATATGACATAAACTCTCTATTAACAGTTCTTTCCCCATTTCTGTCAACAAGTTTAATCTGCAACTCATAGATAAAGCCGGAAGAGTTCCACAGCAGTGCCCCAAACTGCCTTCACTTTTAATATAGCACCCTCTCCAGCGATGCATTCTGATCTGAGTCATACAGATGGTCCACCGCTTTATGTGCCTCTGCAGGCCATCCTCCAATATTAAAGATGCTTAATCTGTAGTGGCTCTCATGAGAATTAGGTATGCCTCTTATTTTCTCCCAGATTACACATATGAATTTGACAAGTCTGGTCACTCCTGTTTTATATTTAGGAAAGTGCTATCAGAAATTTATGAAATGTTCTTTAGCTGGGGCATCTAGCTGAGCTTTATTAAGCCTATGAAACCTCCTAGCAGGCTGCTTTAGAGAAAGTCTAGTCCTCTTATTTTCTATGGTTTACGGTTGAGTTTAACAAGTCCCTGACTCCCTTCATAGCCTGAATTAGATACAGCTGCCTCTTTTTGTTCTTAACTCCTGCTAGTATGGGGAATGAGAAGAGAGTCAAACTTAACTCTCCTGTGTGGCAACACACAACATTGCACTAAGTCACATTGTAAATGTTGAAGAGATAAAGCCAGACTTCAGTACCTTTATTCTATTTATAAAAGAATGGAGCCAAGTTATGTTCCCAAGCAGCATTTACAACAAGGAAAGACTTCCTTTTAATACTGCCCTCAGTAATTAATGTCAGTTCTACAGCAGCACAGGCAGGATGCACAAGGATGACTGGTGTCAGTTCCACCCCCAGATGGTATTTTTAACATGCTATTGATTAGTATTGCTTGGCACAGATGTAACAGGCACGGAGTGCAAAACTACTAACTGACAGTGGCTTGCACACACTGGCGCTCCCAACCTTGCTAATGCAAGTCCTAGCACAACTGTCCCATGCATAAGCCCAGTGCAACTTCACTGAAGTCAAATAATTAAGTTATTCCAATATAATCAAGAGTAGTATCTGACCCTTCCAGTAACAGAAAAGGTACAAACATGTAAGAAATTAATTCTTGTATCAAATATGTAAGTTAATCCTGCTTCAAGCCTAATTCTAGAAAGCTTTTTCTAGTTATGTTTACATTAACTGATTTTTTTAAAAAATAAGCATACTGCAAAACACTAAATACAGAATTGGTATGGCAAGTTCAACTCGCCCAGCAGCCACCAGAGAACAGGGTAACAGCATGTAAGCCACACAGTGGAACTGCACAATAAGGGAAAACTGGTTAGCAAGAAGCAATGCACACCTGCTCTAAATACGGCTGGAGCCAATACCTGGTGTATTATTTAAGCAGACTTAGGTGTGCCATTTGTCCAATGTTTAAATTAATTGAAATACATGGTGCTGGAGCCATTCCCTAGCAACCAACCCAATTAAAACCACTTTGCCAGTTAAATGGATTCAGTGGTGCTGCTGTTCTTTTAACTCTTGAGTCACTCCGGTACATCCAGGTTTGGTTATGAGTATATTATACTCCTTTTCCACTGAAGCTGTTACCCATCATTTGAAACCATTATATTTTGTTTGTAAGAGATAAACACATTTTTATATGTGGATTGGGAAGAATCTTGTTTGCAATCAAAGAAGGTTCTCAGGGGAAGGCTGGTATCAACATTACTCCTGTAATCTAACAACATGCTGTGTTTTCTTATAGCTTTATACTTTCTGATTTTTTTTCCCCAGGCACTAAAAAATCTAGGAGAAAGTACAAAATCAAACCCCCAGTGCTAAATGTGACTCTCGAATATTACAGTTGTGCTGATTTACCTACACAAACTATGGCTAAAGTAT